CAGGTTCCAGGGTTTACCAGGCAGGAGTGCTGAGCCGGCAACACCATCTGGAGGGAGGTAAACAAGCTCTAGCCCTGTACTCGAGGGGCTCGGTGTGGTAGAGAGCCTGGTCAACAACTGAACACAGGAGATGGAGAGAGTAGTAAGGGTTATGGGAGCTATCAGGATTTTAACTTATCTTTCATCAATATATATTATTTAATTATTTTAAAAATCTGGGTTTAACCAGGAGATGCAGATGACATTCCAATATTCTTTGATTATGGATTAAAAATCTGCTAATTCTGAAGGTGTCAATATGATGGAGATCTCTAGGATCTCCAGGACAGTTCTTGAAAAGTGGCATATCTACTGATGGAAGGGTCAACTTAGGACCTGTCTTTGGAGGAGCATTCCTCTTCTACACATGTGGTCCATCACAAAGAGACCTCACTCTGCCTCCAGGCCTCCTCCAGCCCGTTGTCCATCTGGATATCAGCTCTGTCCTCATAGAAGGTAAGTTTTGTCTTGTCACTCTGCAGTATAAATTGCCTGCCCCCCCCCGCCCCCCGCCGCCTCCTGCCACAGCCAACATGGCCCACAGGCAGGGCCCTGGTGTGCTGGGTTCTTCATCCTCCTGGCTCTGCTCAAACTGAGTTCCTCACTTGGAACATCTACCCCACCTCTTTTCCTTGTCTAAGCCACAGGCCTTAAGGACAAGCCACTTAAGCCTCAGCCTGGAATTTACATGATCCCTTTCTGTGACAGGCACTGAGGGTGTGCTGGCGAGCAGGACCCCCTCCAAAGAGCTGATTCTGATAACAACGTTAGACATGACTCACACAAGAAAACACTGAGACAAATCATGGTAAATAGTATAAAAGAAATAAGGGCACTGTATGAAAATAAAGGAGATAGCTGTGGTCCATTCCAGGGGTCAGAAGACATTTGCCAGAAGAGTCCTTCAAACTGACAGCTTGCTGATAAGGTAAGGAGGTAGCAATGTTCCCAGGCAGCAAGGGTCATGTGTTCTTCAAGGAACAGAGAAGAGGCAAGTGAGATGGAGCACAAAGACTGAAGAGGGAGGGAAGCAGGGACAAGGGATGTGCTGTACTCGGTCTCATGTATTAGGACCAAGATCTTAGTCTTTATCTTCAGAGCAATGAGAAGCCAGCGGAGAGTTTTATTTAACATAGGAACAACATGCTGATGAGGTGGTAGTGATCACAATGATGGTGAGAATGGTGAGGAGGAGGAAGATTATGGTGACAGTGATGATGGTAATGATTGTGGTGATAACGAGGATGGCAAAAATGATGCAGGGATGACAGTGACGAAATAAGGACGGGAGAGATGGCAACAGCGAAGCTGACATGGTAATGATGAAGATATGTAGATTGAAAATGAATAGACAAAAAAACAGAAAGCAGAAGCAGACCTATAAATCAGAGAACAAACTGATGGTTGTCAGAGGGAAGGGGGTGGAGGGATGATTGAATGGGTGAAGGGGAGATGGTAACTGGGTAAATGGCTTCTGGTTATGGGATGAATAAGTCATAGGGCTGAAAGGCACAGCCGGGGAACTGTCAATGGTGTTGTGACAGTGCTATGTGGTGACAGATGGGGAGCACAGCATGACATACAGACTTGTTGAATCACTATGTTGTACACCTGAAACTAATGTAACACTGTGTGTCAACTATACTAAAAACCAAACAGTAAATTAAAAAAATGAAACCAAATGTGTGGGCTGAAATGTTGAGAGAAATGCTGATGGTGATGAAGAGTCCAGCAGCATGGCCGGCTAGGAAGGCAGAGGCAGGAAGACCGTCTGGGACGCTGACGGAGAGAGGCTGGAAACAACACACGATTTGGAGTGAGACACACCTATGCTCTGCCGTCTATTTTCTGGGTGCCTTTGAGAAAATGCCTTGACCTCGCATGTGCCTCAGTTTCCTCACCCTCTAAAGGATTCCTAAAAGTGAGATGATGTCTATAAAAGTGCCTGGCACCCAAGAGGTGCACTGTAAGTTCCCTTTGCTTCTCCTTGACATACAGGCATGCCGCCAGGCCTGTGAAGAGGAGGGCCTGGAGGTGGAGTTTTTCTCCACTGCCTCATTCCTGCAGCCTGGTCGGGTGACAATGGCCTGTTGCTGAGGGACATTGTATTGCTGCTAGGAGCCCAGGAGCTCCCGTTTAGATCATTTCCTCCAACTTGATAGTCTTGGCTGCTGGCTGCCTGTGGGCATAGCTGTGTGAGGTGGGGCTTCTGCTTGGGGCTACCTCTGCCACTGCCCACTACCCACCCCTGACACCCCTGAGCTTCGCTCTGATACCACAGTGAGTAATTCCTGTTCACTGCCAAGTCTGGGGGACATAGCAGTGGGGCCTCTGCGTGTCTTGGAAAAGACAGCTTCTTACTTGTCCTGAGCCTTCTCACAACGTGACTGTAGGCAAGGCACTTAACCTCTTTTGGCCTCAGTTTCCCACCTGGAATCTGTCTTGCTGGTTCAAGGAGCAATGTGGCATTCCCGTGTCATCGTGTGGCAGTGCCTGTATGCAGTAGATGGCCCACAATGAGGATGTGTGTGGTCACTGTTAGCTTCTCTCTCCCTTGAGGGCAGAGCTTAGGGGCCCATCTACTTGGTGGTTTGAATCTGTTTGCATCAAGCTTGTCCACAGTTTCAATTTGTCTCCAGCCTCCTGGAGGGTGCCTTCTGGCTGGTCCCTGGACAGGGACAGTCCTAGCATCCCGAGGCTTTTGAAATGCCACACATGGTGAAGATTTTATTTCCAAAGTAATGTGTAGATTCATTAACCTGTGCTGCTCATTTCCCCTGTATCAGCATGTGGTCTTCTGTGGCACCCACAATGTGTTCAGTCAGGAATGTTCTGACCCATACTGAGAGCAGAGAATGGAGTGGGACAGAGCAGTTAAAGGTGGTGGGGCCACTAACCAGGATGGGTCAGCGCTAGCTCATCCCCACAGCAGTCAGCGCATACTGACCTCCAAGCAAGGCTGATCCCAGGGACCCCACATCCACAGTAGCCTGCATTTTCCCAGGAAGGACACCCTGGGTGACTCCTGGGCAGGTGAAATGGAATGGTGTAAAGAGACTGCTTTATGTATTTTGTAGGTCATAAAATGATTCTCAACAGCAAGGCAGGCTTCTTATTACATTTACCAGCTCATTCATCATGAGACTTACTCACTTGCCATTTCCCTGAAGCTGTTGCCTGTCACTGTTATCAGAAGGATTGAGCTTTCAGCTATGTTTTTACTGAGGGGTTGTGGTTTAATGGAGTCCCCTTACCCAGGGCATCTGTATTCTAAGACAAGCACCTGCTGAGGGCAAGGCTGATAGCGGGGGGCTGGGAAGGGCATTCTACTGGGCTGACAGCAGGGGTAGCCTAACCTCCAGCCCAGCTCTAGGCATGTTGGCTGCCCCTCAAAGTACACCTGCAGAGCGCCTGGGGCCAGTGGAAGTAGGAGGGGACACCCTCTGGGGGGCACAGGCCCTGGTAGGGGAGACAGGGCGGCAGGGTCAGCCCTCTGGTATTGCAGTGTCTCTGGAGGAGGAGATGTGCTTTCACAGAACAACCCTTAGATTCTTTACCATATTCTGCCTTCAGGAGCAGTTGTTGCTGCTTCTCCTGAAGATGCGTAACAAACCCTCAAGAAAGGCATGGTCCCTGGGCCGGAGGGAGCCAGGGGTCTCTCCAGGGAGCAGGGCCTTTTGCCAGCTCTGAAGGAAGGAGTGATACTCATGCTCCAGTCAGAAGAATGAGTCTGGGGTCCAACTCGTGAGTTACCATGCCAGATGTCCTGTCTCTCCCAGTGTGATAGCCCCTAGGCTACTCAGACTCCCTGTGTCTCACTACCTTACCTGCACCCCAGATGTGTGGCGATGGCAAGGCTCAGTCTATGGGGCACACTTAAGAATGAGGTGGCTTGGCAACGAGTGTCAGCACTTTTGTAACTGGATGTAGGTCTCCAAGACAGGTATGTTGTCATCATGGCTCCCAGTGGGGCCATGGAGACCCAGAAGGGCAGAGTAATTTAGCCAAGACCACAGTTAATGACAAGAGGCAAAGCCAGGTTTCCTCTGAAGTCTTCAGCTTCTGACACTCCTGAGAAAGAAAAAGGAGGCAAGAGGTGAGTGCCCGTGTAGTCAGAGGTATGAGGCAGGGTTCTGGTGTGTCACTTGCCAGATCTGGTCCAGGTGGCATTCATGATATGAGGCTGGGCCTCTTATGGCTCAATGTCTAAAATTTTTGTCTCCTTCTGATCCTGAGAACATTCTGCCTGTGCTCGGGAAGGCACCAGCTCTGTGGTAGCTCCTTCCCCAGGCTCAGCATGGTGTTGGGCTGGGGCCTGGAGAGGAGCTAGAGAGGGGCTGGAGGGTGTGGCACAGGCAGCAGGTCCCAGGAGCATAGAGCATCTAGTGCACTCCTTCAGCAGTGAGGACAAGGGGGACTGTGCAGCAGGGAGGACCCAAGCCTCTGGAGAGTGTGGTAAGGTAAGGGCTAGCATGTCTTGAGCATTTATCCCAGGCTACACGTTGTGCTAAGTATGTTACCTGTAGATTTTTGCAACATTTCCATGAGGTCTGTGTGGGCAGCATTCACTTTTCACAGAAAAGCAAACAAATATAGAGAGCTTCCCAAAGTCTCTGAGCCAGATCTCAAGAGCAGAAAGCCTGCTCACCTAAGCCAGATGGGAGACACTTCTCAGGAGATCAGTGACCAGTACACCATGGCAACAGGCTGATGCATTTAGGTGTGCCCATACACATGCGGCCAGGATAGCTGGCAGACATGCATGCGTGTAGGAAGCCCTGTGTGAGCAGAATTTTGCTTTGTTGTTTTGTTTTTGTTAAACAGTCGTTCCCAAGACCTGCTCAAGTACAGCATTTCTGCAGGGGAGTAGCACCATCAGAACCCCTGCAGGGGAGATCCACACCCTGGGCAAGTACAGAACCAAGCACCTGTGGGAAAGCGTGCCATTCCTGCCAGGAAGCATGTGGGATCAGTTGACACCCTATCGCCTGGACACAACAGCCTGGCCAGCCTCGGACCAGCTCATCTGTGAGCCCCCCTGCATGCCTCAGTTAGCCAGCAACACTTCCTGAGGCTCGGAGACCTGAGCGTGCCTGTCACCATGCTGCACTGGCTGTTCCTCCCTTCAAGCCTGCTGGCCGTAGCCACACTGGCTTGGACCCCCATGCTGCTGGTAACCATCCTGCAGAGCCAGAGACTTCGGCAAGAGCCCCACTACCTGCTGCTGGCTAACATCCTGCTCTCGGATCTGGCCTACTTGTCTTCCACATGCTCATCTCCTCCAGCAACATGGGCAGCTGGGCCCTGGACTGCATTCATTGTTTGTGGTGCTCTCACAGATGCTATCTTCATTGCCTATACCAGCACCATCTTGTCCTTCATGGCCACCGTGCTGCACACCTACCTGGCAGTTGCTTATCCTCTGCACTACTTCTTCATGTCCTATGAAGCTGCCCAGAAAGTGGTGGCCCTCATCTGGCTGGTGGCCTGCTTCTTCCCCACATGTCTCATTTGGCTTAGCAAGCGGCAGGATGCCAGGTTCGAGCAAGGGGCCTCATGCATCCTGCAGCTGAGTCTGGGCACTGAGCCAGGCCATGGCCCGCTGGTCACTGTCACCATAAAAGAGAATTTTATGCATTCTCTCTCTATGCATAGCTTTCATCACCTACTGCTTATGGAGGATCTATGCAAAGACTAGGACTTTAGGAATCTGGGTGCAGGGCTATTCCTGGGCCAGGGGTACCCTGCTTATCCACACAGTGTTAATCATGCTGTATGTTAGCCCAGTTGTGGTGTTTTCCCTGGACATCATGCTAACCAAGTACCACCACATTGATGCCAGAACTCATGTGTGGCTCATGGCAGCCAACAGTGAGGTGCTCATGATGCTTCTTCATGCCATGCTCCCATACCTGTACACACTCCGTTACCAGCAGCTGCTGGGGATGGTCTGGGGCCACTTCTCATCCAGGAGGCACAGTGACATCTTCACTATTTCTTAGAGCTACAGACTTCACAGTCTAACAGACTTAGGTTAGAAATTGTATGTTGGATGCATCAGTAGCCAATTATCACCAACTCCAGAAAACTATGAAATATACTTGTGCAACAGGACATTTAAGATGACCTCAACTGATGGTTTTCAACATTTCAAAAGTTTTTAAGTAGAGAAAGCTCACTTCTCACTGATGTGAAGATTTTCTACTTGAAAATGGAAGCAAAGAAAAGTGATTCAGCAGAGCTGTGATCAAAGTGGGGGTGAGGCCCTGATCTGTGCCTTTCCAATGGCTTCCACCATATCCTCCTCCACCACTGGCAAACCATTGTTGCTGACAAACACACAGACGCCAAAACATTACTAATGAACCTGGAAAGTAAGCAAGCAGATCTGCTGAATCTGGAACCATGAGCCTCCATTTTGCCAACTCCTCAGTATATGGGAGGGAGGAGAACAAACTAGGACTCACCTATAGTGGGGGGTGTCATGAAGATATCTATAAAGCTGGAACCCCCTTGGGGCACCTGGGTGGCTCAGTCAGTTGGGTGTCTGCTTTTGGCTCAGGTCATGGTCCCATGGTCCTGGGATGGGGTCCCCATGCTGGGCTCCCTGCTCAGTGGGGAATCTGTTTCTCCTTCTCCTCCCTGCTTGTGCTCTCTGTCACTATCCCTGTCTCTCTCAAATAAATAAATAAATAAAACCTTTAAAATAATTACAAAATTAATTAATTAATTAATTATTAATTAAAACTGGAACCCCAAAATATTACAGTCTCAGAACAAGGATAAATGACAACTAACAGAATAGCAAGGGGACTTTCCTGCCTTGATATTGGTGCTGTGCAGAAGAGGAAGAAAATTCCTCAATAACTCTTAGGTGGAAGCCACCCTTCAAACAGGATTAGAACTAGTTTTAAAACTATTTTTGTGGTTAATAGATCTAATTCTGTGGTTGGTTGGCTCTTCTGGAGGATTAGAGCTTCAGCTCAGGCTTCAAAGAATTTCCATGGTAAAAAACCTCAAAGCAAATGAATTGCACATAGTCAAAATTCACAAAACTACACAAAAAATAAGGCACCATGAATGAGAATGAGAAGAAACAACAAGATAGCAGTAGTATACTCCATCCAGCTCCTTAAACTGTCAGACACTTGGCTAATACAAAAATGTTCAGTATATTTTAAGACATGAAAAATGACATGGAAATATGAATGAGGAGCAACACATTTTAAAAATAATCAAGCAGAAAATGACATATCAGATAAAGGGTTAGTATCCAAAATCTATAAAGAACTTATCAAACGGAACACCCAAAGAACAAAGAATCCAATCAAGAAATGGGCAGAAGACATGAACAGACATTTTTCCAAAGAAGACATCCAAATGGCCAACAGACACATGAAAAAGTGCTCAACATCGCTCGGCATCAGGGAAATCCAAATCAAAACCTCAATGAGATACCACCTCACACCAGTCAGAATGGCTAAAATTAACAAGTCAGGAAACGACAGATGTTGCGGGGATGTGGAGAAAGGGGAACCCTCCTACACTGTTGGTAGCAATGCAAGCTGGTGCAGCCACTCTGGAAAACAGTATGGAGGTTCCTCAAAAAGTTGAAAATAGAGCTACCCTATGACCCAGCAATTGCATTGCTGGGTATTTACCCCAAAGATACAAATGTAGGGATCTGAAGGGGTACATGCACCCCAATGTTTATAGCAGCAATGTCCACAATAGCCAAACTGTGGAAAGAGCCAAGATGTCCACTGACAGATGAATGGATAAAGAAGATGTGGTATATATATATACAATGGAATATTATGCAGCCATCAAAAGGAATGAAATCTTGCCATTTGCAATGACGTGGATGGAACTGGAGCGTGTTATGCTGAGCGAAATAAGTCAATCAGAGAAAGACATGTATCATATGACCTCACTGATATGAGGAATTCTTAATCTCAGGAAACAAACTGAGGGTTGCTGGAGTGGGTGTGGGAGGGATGGGGTGGCTGGGTGATAGACGTTGGGGAGGGTATGTGCAATGGTGAGCACTGTGAATTGTGCAAGACTGTTGAATCACAGATCTGTACCTCTGAAACAAATAATGCAATATATGTTAAGAAAAAAAAGATAGCAGGTGGGGAAGAATGAAGGGGGGGAAATCGGAGGGGGAGACGAACCATGAGAGACGATGGACTCTGAAAAACAAACTGAGGATTTTAGAGGGGAGGGGGTGGGGGGATGGGTTATCCTGGTGATGGGTATTAAAGAGGGCACATTCTGCTTGGAGCACTGGGTGTTATGCACAAACAATGAATCATGAAACACTACATTAAAAACTAATGATGTAATGTATGGTGATTAACATAACAATAAAAAATTAAAGAAAAATAATCAAGCAGATTAGGAAAAGAGTTAAATAAAACTGTTAGAAATAAAAAAGTATAATAATCAGAATAGCAAAAGATGGGTTATATTTAATATGAATTAAAAAGTATATTAGGGGAGTGCTTGGGTGTGTCAGTCAGTTAAGCATCTGCCTTTGGCCCAGGTCATGGTCCTAAGGTCCTGGGATTGAGCCCCACATCCAGCCCCCTGCTCAGCAGGGAGCCTGCTTCTCCCTCTCTCTCTGCACCTCCCCCTGCTTGTGCTCTCTCTCGCTATCTCTGTCACTATTTGTCTCTCTTTCTCTCAAATAAATAAAACCTTAAAAAAAAGTATATTAGACACAACTGAAAAGGGATTTGGTAAACTAGAAGATAGGTTTAAATAAATTATCTAAAATTCAGCCTAGAAGGACAAAGAGGCAAAAAATACAAAAGAGAGATTAAGAGGTATTGAGTTAAGAATAGAAAACACTGATATCTAATTTGAGAATACAATAGAGATGATGTGGATAGGGAAATATTTAAAGAGATAACAGCTGAAAAATTTTCAGATTTATTAAAAGATATCAAACCTCAGATTCAAGAACTCTAACCAGTTACAAACAAGATGAATGACAAATAACCCATCTCAAGTGAATGTGAAACTGCAGGAAACTGAATACAAAGACAAGATATTTAAAGCAGTCAAAGAGACAGAAGAGTAATAATTTAACTAAGAGCTGACTTCTAAAAAAAAAAAGCACAAGTCTGATGTAACTGAAATATATTGTAAATGGAAAAACATTCCATGCTCATGGATTGGAAGAACAAATATTGTGAAGATGTCAACGCTACCTAGAGCAATCTACATATTCAATGCAATCCCTATCAAAATACCATCATCTTTTTTCAAAGAAATGGAACAAATAATCCTAAAATTTGCATGGAACCAGAAAAGACCCCGAATACCCAGAGGAATGTTGAAAACGAAAAGCAAAGCTGGTGGCATCACAATTCCGGACTTCAAGCTCTATTACAAAGCTGTAATCATCAAGACAGTATGGTACTGGCACAAAAACAGACACATAGATCAATGGAACAGAATAGAGAACCCAGAAATGGACCCTCAACTCTATGGTCAACTAATCTTTGACAAAGCAGGAAAGAATGTCCAGTGGAAAAAAGACAGTCTCTTCAACAAACGGTGTTGGGAAAATTGGACAGCCACATGCAGAAGAATGAAACTGGACCATTTCCTTACACCACACACAAAAATAGACTCAAAATGGTTGAAAGATCTAAATGTGAGACAGAGTCCATCAAAATCCTAAAGGAGAACACAGGCAGCAACCTCTTTGACCTCAGCCGAAGCAACTTCTTCCTAGAAACATCACCAAAGACAAGGGAAGCAAGGGCAAAAATGAACTATTGGGACTTCATCAAGATAAAAAGCTTTTGCACAGCAAAAGGAACAGTCAACAAAACCAAAAGACAACCGACAGAATGGGAGAAGATATTTTCAAATGACATATCAGATAAAAGGCTAGTATCCAAAATCTATAAAGAACTCGTCAAACTCAACACCCAAAGAACAAATGATCCAATCAAGAAATGGGCAGAAGACATGAACAGACATTTTTCCAAAGAAGACATCCAAATGGCCAAAAGACACATGAAAAAGTGCTCAACATCGCTCGGCATCAGGGAAATCCAAATCAAAACCTCAATGAGATACCACCTCACACCAGTCAGAATGGCTAAAATTAACAAGTCAAGAAACGACAGATGTTGGCAGGCATGTGGAGAAAGGGGAACCCTCCTACACTGTTGGTGGGAATGCAAGCTGGTGCAGTCACTCTGGAAAACAGTATGGAGGTTCCTCAAAAAGTTGAAAATAGAGCTACCCTATGACCCAGCAATTGCATTGCTGGGTATTTACCCCAAAGATACAAATGTAGGGATCTGAAGGGGTACATGCACCCCAATGTTTATAGCAGCAATGTCCACAATAGCCAAACTATGGAAAGAGCCAAGATGTCCATTGAGAGATGAATGGATAAAGAAGATGTGAGATAAAGGAATGAAATCTTGCCATTTGCAATGACGTGGATGGAACTGGAGCGTGTTATGCTGAGCGAAATAAGTCAATCAGAGAAAGACATGTATCATATGACCTCACTGATATAAGGAATTCTAAATCTCAGGAAACAAACTGAGGTTTGCTGGAGTGGTGGGGGGTGGGAGGCATGTGATGGCTGGGTGATTGACATTGGGGAGGGTATGTGCTATGGTGCGTGCTGTGAATTGTGTAAGACTGTTGAATCACAGACCTGTACCTCTGAAACAAATAATACATTATATGTTAAAAAAAAAAAAAAAAAGAAGATAGCAGGAAGGGAAAAATGAAGTGGGGGGGAATCGGAGGGGGAGACGAACCATGAGAGACTATGGACTCTAAGAAACAAACTGAGGGTTCTAGAGGGGAGGGGGTGGGGGGATGGGTTATCCTGGTGATGGGTATTAAAGAGGGCACATTCTGCATGGAGCGCTGGGTGTTATATGCAACAATGAATCATGGAACACTACATTAAAAACTAATGATGTAATGTATGGTGATTAACATAACATAATAAAAAAAG